TTAAAATCTGGTACCAATATAGAAGTCACATGAAGCTTAAATTTTTATAGCTGCTAGATAACTTAGTGAAGCACATCTCAACCAAATTTCATGGTATTTGGATCTATACTTTGGGAGATATGTATTTTTCTTTGAAGAGTACAAAATCTGCTAGAAAAGTGACAATTATTAGATTTATTTGGAGTCACTCTGATTGAAAGGTTCTCAAGTTGAAACATGTTTATAAGTAATTGAGGCACCTAAATTTGGTTTTGAGATGATCTAGAAGCATGACAAGCAAATAGTACAAGGGTATTTGATTGTGAAGTGTACTTTGCACATATTTGGTACTCAAATTAGAAGATCAAGATCAAACTCAAGATGAAGATAAAGTTTAAGTTCTAGTGACTATTGAAAATTATTTGGTAGAAAAAAAGGACTTAAACAAGTAAAAAGAAAAGAACTTAAAGAAGGAATCAAGGTTACTCATCAAGTTAAGTTCATCACTTGGATCAATCAATCAAGTCATTTCAAGTGAGTATCAAGGATGGTTCTTTGGAGAGAGGTCGCTTCTCCCTAGTGTAGGGGCTTGCCGCCTATGTGTAGGTAAACCAAGTGTGGTACTTGGAAGGCTAATATGGAAGTGGTGATACGAGGGACATTTGAGATGCTTAGTTAAAGCAATCAAAAGGGTTGATCAAGAAAAGCAAGCAACACCCAAAAGAGAGTTGGTCATGATATTTCAAGTGATATTCTCATATTGATGCTCTCATGCAAGCAAAGATGAAATGAAGAAGTAAGCCAACCACAACAAGAAAGTGCACTTGATCATTAGTGGTTCTCATTTCATATGGGTGAAGAATGGACTCTATCTATGATGATTGGTCTTCACCAAGCTATAAATTGGACTTCACATTGCTATTGCGGAGCTTAATTGGAAACTAGTGACTATCCTCTACTCCAAGATAGTAAAGGTATCATTGTAATGTGCATGATCATTTCATCCCTTACTAGTATGCGGTTAGTGTATAAAGTTCATACTTCATAGGATCATGCATAACAAATGAAAGTTTTAAATTCATAGCCTACCACTATTGCTTGAATATTTAATTGATCTAGTGGTTATTATATGAATTTGTTCATGAGTTAGTGTACCCAAGTACTTGATTTAATTTGGATTGCTAACAAGTGACAAGTGCAACATTGGCAAGATAACCCTTGCAAGAGGTGTGAAGAAGCTTGTCATTGGTTTAAACCAGACTTGGAAGCTTAGGCAAATCAATTTAGTCAAGTCAAAATTAGAAGCTCATGATAATAATAAGAGTACAAGCACAAGACAACAATGCAAATGGATATCTAGTTTGAATTATTTCAAGTGACATCTAGACTCAAGTATTTCATCAAGAATTCACAAGTGATGTCTAGATCAACTTACAAGTGATATCCTACACATGGTAGTCATGATAATAGCAAATGTTCAAGAAATAGTTTTTATTGACAAATCAATCATATGCGTGGTATCATATCTCTACACATGATATCAATCATGCAAGACGATGGTTCCACAAGGGATCCTCAACTTTAAGTGATCATCAAATGAAGAATGCATCCCTCACCTACAAGAGCTCAAGTTTATCAAATGGATGACCCATGCTATGACATAGGGGGAGGTGTCCCACAAATTGGTATCAAGGTCAAAGATCCTATGTGTGGTATCTCAAGCGCTACAAGTGGTGTTATTCCAACAATCAAGTGATGTCCATAAAAAATGCAAGATTCAAGCCTCAACCATCTACCCCAAATGCAAACATTTGCATCAATGAGAAGCACACCTTTTATGGAAATTGATGACAAAGGGGGAGAGATTGTACAAAGATATGAAAGCTTTGGGAAAGATTGAGACAAAGAAGTGGAGGTTGGACATGGACATAAACAAAGAGGGGAAGCAACATTGAATGATGTGAAAGGATCAAAATTCTTGGACAAGAGAAGCACACAAGTAGGGGAGCAAGCTCATAAACTTTGATTGATTGCATTTGATATGTGCATATTCATGTGCTTGCTTGCATTGTATAAGCTTTTAAATTGAATATGCACGCTTGTGTGGTGTATGCTAGTTGTAGAATTTGATTGATGAAATGAAAACTAGCATGCATAGGATGGTAGCTAGACACTTGGTATGCTTTTCAAGTAATGCTAGTACCTTGCTTTTAATGTTGATCTCACGAGGTATCTAGTGCTTTTATTTCTAAGTGATATCTAGCTAACCATGGTGCTAAGAATGAACTTAAAGGTGCAACTCCGATTGGTATCACGCTTCAAAGGTTTACTCTATATACCTTAGCATCATTTGGTAGTAATTACTCTCCCACAATTTCTATCTATGCATATGTGCGAGCTTCAAACCAAATACTCTAGCACGTATGTAGGGGGAGCAAATACTACCAATTCGGGTTTGTGGTACTTATCCAAAATCATTTACACATGGTAAAATTGCTTGGGCAAGCAACATGAATCCAAAAGAGCTTAATTTTCATATCTTTGTAGAGTTGTCATCAATTACCAAAAATGGGGAGATTGAAAGGTCCTTGTTTGGTTTTGGTAGCTGAGTGACAACCTAGGTGGTCTAATATGTGTTTATGTGAGATACACAGGTGATTAGTCCACAAGTACATATGTGTGAGCAACATATGCCATGATGGTGAAGATGGCTTGGATATGTTGCAAGGCTCACACATGTGATGAAGGAGCTCATGAGACATGACATTGAGTCATGTGACTAAGGTGGAAAAGATCAAGACAAGACTTGGCTTGATGGGCCGGTTGTAAGCATGAAGGGCAAGTTGGAGGCTTTGGAGCGATGGACCGTGTGGCGGTGAAGCTTGAGCAAGACTTGGCGCCAATGGATGAAGGCAACGGTGAAAAGCAAGTGAGGTCAAGATCAATGAACCAATATGGTCATGTGATGATATGAAGTGGATCATATCATTTGGTGATTGGTTGGTGCATGTGTTGCATCAACAATGGAGGAGTTGGAATGGAATGCGCAAGGCAAAGGTATAACCTAGGGCATTTCATTTCATCGGTCATAGGTTATGTAGAGAAGTGCTTGATCGGGTTTAGGATAGATGGTCGTACTATCAAGAGGGGCAAACTTGTTTGCATATCGGTCATCCAGTGCCACACGAGTGATCTAACTTTGCATCGTTGCTAGGATCGAGTGGAGCAGCAAGTTGAGGGATTAACTCCTTGAAAAATGTTTGTGAAAAGCTAACACACATACACAAGGTATTGTACACTTGGTGGTGTTGGCACATTTGCAAAGAAGAAGAAGTTGGTGAATTGAAGGAAGTGTTTTTCACTATCAAACAGTGATCGGACGCTGAGTTCGAAGTGACCGGACTCAGGGTTCCAGCGTCCGGTCAATTATAAAAGAAGGTGGTGCTCTCAAGCTCGATTTGCCCTATGACTGGACTCGGAGAAGAAAAGTGACCGAACTCTAGCTGAATACTATTCAACATCTGGTCCTGCTGATGTAGCGGCACATAGAGAGGAGGAGGAGGAGCAGACGCACCGACGCGTCCGGTCATGGTGGACCGGACGCGTCCGGTCATGATTTTGCCTCTCTAGAACCTTACTGGAAATAACCGGACTCAGGCGTAGCAGCGTCCGGTCATCCTCGCAGTGTGTGTCCAGTCACAACATAACCATTGAGATCGGGCGCTCAGCATTTGAAGCCAGGGATGACGTGGTAGCCATCCGTTGACCGGACGCTAACAGGGTGCGTCCGGTCGATCTGACTGGCGTGTCCGGTCGTCCCGAAATATGCCCAGTGAAGGGGTAATGGCTATTTTAGCCCGTGGGGCTATAAATAGAATTGTTGGTCGGCCTTTGGCCATGAGCTGAGCACACTAGAGTCTTGGTGGCTTGTGTGGTGGTGCTTGGGAGCCCTCTAACTCACTCTTGCTTGATAGTGTTCATCCGATTGACGGAGTGAGCGATTCTAGTGTGATTGCATCATGAGGTTGCATCGAGTGGCACTCGGTGATCGAGTTGCAAGCCAGTGGTGCTTGTTACTCTTGGAGGTTGCCACCTCCTAGATGGCTTGGTGATGGTCTCCGTCAAAGCCCGCAAGAAGCTTGTGCGGTGCTCCGGAGAAGAGCTTTGTGAGGGGCATTGTGCTCGCCCCGCAGGATCCATGAAGAGCAACTCTAGTTGAGCATGTAATTGAGCTACCCTCACTTTTGGGGTAGGTTCTTGCAGTGCCCGACGTGCGGACTTGGCGGATGATGCTAATTAGCCACCGAACCACCAAGTGAGCGGTCGACACAACAGGGACGTAGCGTGTTGGCAAGCATGTGAATCTCGGGAGAAAAATCACCATGTCAACATTGTTCTTCCTGTTGGTTTGCAATCCCCTTACATAAGCTTGTAATTACTTTCATATACATTGTGCTTGTATAGTTGCTCTTGTAATTAGTTAGCTTGTGTAGTCACTAGTTACCTTCTTGCTTGTGTAGCATAAAAGTAGCTCCCTTACGTGGCTAATTTGGTTTGTGTAACCTTGTTAGTCACATTGCTTAGTTTGTGTAGCTAAGTATTTGTGCTCTCTAATTTGGCATTGGTTGCCTTGTTATTGAGCATTGCTAGTGAGCTTAGGAGCTTTGTGCTTTTGCTTACTAGAATTGTGTAGGAGCTCCCCGGTGTGCAAAATACTAGTGGCATAGGTTTATGTGACCTTGCTCCTAAAATTGGATAGGTGAGCTCTAGCTAGCTTGGCACCTTTGTTGCTTAATTAGAATCTTTGTAAGGTGCTAAAGAACATAGATAGAGGGGTGTAGTCTTGGCTAGACCGATAGTTTTAATTCCGCACTTGTTTCAGCTAGCCGGTGCGATTAAGTTTTAGAAAGAACTATTCACCCCCCCTCTAGTCCGCCATCTCGACCCTACACCTCTTGAATGAGGTTGCTAGGGCTGCAGCAGTTGCTGGTGCTGCTGCACCAGCAGCAGCTCCAGGGCCCATGAGGTGGAACAACAACACCTCTGGGTTTGCGCCTAGGAGGATGGCCCAGCTAGTGAGTGATGGTAGTAGGCCTGACAAGGTTTTCAAGGACAATGATATGAACTTAGTGGCCAAGGACCTTAAGGACTATAGTGGGGAGGCTGTTAGCCCAACTCAGGTGTACAACCACTTGAGGAAGTGGAGACAGAAGTGGGCTTAGATCTGTAAGCTGAAAGATCTTACTAGAGCCTTGTGGGATAGTGATGTAAATGCAATCATGCTAGAGGGGGAGCACTACCTTGGCCACTGCAAGGTAGATTAACTAAGATGCTTTCCTCATCTTTGCCTTTTCTTTATCTTTCTGAGTTACCTAAACGGTATCCCCTTCTACAGGACCACCCTAAGGATGCTGAGTTCCTTAACTATCCTATAAGGTTCTACCCAGAGATGGAGGCCATCTTTAGTCATGCAATGGCCACTAGTAGGTTTGCACTAGGTTCTGGTGAAGCCCTTGGGGTGAACCAGGCTGATAGTGTAGCTGTTAAGGCTAAGGGGTCTGCCTTTAATAATGGCTATGAGGAGAAAACCAACACTAAAGTTGGTGAGGGTAGCAAGGCCACAGAGCTGTTGGCCACATCTAGGTTGGGTGAAAAGAGGAAGAGAGGCACATTCACTGAGGATGAGATGCTCTTGCTCACCAACATGTCAGATGCAGCGAATAATGTTGCTAATGCTCTTAGGAAAACATGTCTAGCCCATGTTGATGCTAATCTCTACCTTGCTATTATGGAGAGTCCTGGCTTTTCTGAGGAGGCTCTCATAGTAGCCTACACCTACCTGCTGGACAACAAGACCCAAGGCAGGGGCTTTGTTGGCATGAGTGATAGCCATAGGGACATTTGGCTTAGGAACTACCTAGCCAAGAACTACTACATGTAGTTGCACTATATGCTAGGATGCATGGCCAATGAGGGGGTTGACTGTTGAGATGTATAGTTCCTCCACCTCCCTCACCCACTCTCTCTTCTTTTGACTACAATTGAGCACACTTTGTTGTAGGTATTTTGTGCAGGTTACTTGGCTGACTCACACCTGTCCTTTTGGTTTATTTACTAGGAGGGTGGCTAACTATATGTGCTAGAGGGCACCATGGTAGGCATTTGAGTCCTGAACTATTGGGCAGAACCTGTTGTTGTAGGGCACTATATGTAGCCTCTGTTGGTTACTTTATTTGAGACCATTAGTTGTTTATTCTCTTACTTTTGAACTGTTGAGCTTGTGTTTGCAGCATCTCACCAATTATTTTGTTGGTTTTGTTTCTTTGGCTTGGTGGCAACTGTGGGAAATTTAAATGGCCTATGATGCAAACATATACATGAGGTGGCTGCCCTATTTACTTGGTTCTTGTTCTTTGTCATGTCTGTCCTCAAACCCGTGTGACACGTCCATCCCTAGCAACAGCACCTTCTTTTTTATGTTGATGGCAGTGAATGGACATGCACAAGGGTTCCATGGCAGCCATGGCCTTGGGTTTCCACTTGTTTGAATCTTCTATTGCCTGCAGTTTTTACCTTGGTGTTGTACTAGCTTTTTATTTGTATGGCAGCCACCAATGACTTAACTCATATGAATTACACCACCACATTCTAAAGCTGAGGCCACTGTTTTTATAAAATGCCTATGATGTCATAATTGTTGCTTTGAACTTGATGATGCTGGTCATCAGTGATGGACTTGAGATCAACGATTTGTTTCATCCCTAATTGTAGATCTTCAAGTTCTACACTCATGGCAAGTTTCATTCCTTACATTTGATTGAGGCTAAACCACTCTTTGATTTCACAAAAATGGGCCCTTGCTATGTGGTTTTCAAGGGGAAGAAACTTGGGATTTATATGACTTGGCATGAGTGCAGTGAACAAGTGCTTGGGTTCAAAAATGCTATATAAAAGAAGTATAGTAACTATAATCATGTTGTTAGTGATTTCAATGCATCATGCCGAGCAGTAACAGCTCCCCCTAAGTTGTTACAACCTGATACTTGTGCCTCACACCCTGATCTTGATGGTATGAGTGGTTCTTGGAAGAATGTGGCCATTGTCATTCTTTTAATTGTGGTATTTGGCCTATGGTTGAGGTTGTCCATGTGCAACAAATGTAAGTGAAGTGCTTTGGCAGATGATGACACAATGAGATGCTTCAAGAACTGCCTCCATGTCTTCTGGTTTTTTGTAATGCATTTGTGAAACTTGTGGCTATCTGTTCTTTGCTCTGGAAACTAGAGATGGTACCTGTTGTTCATCGTTGCACCTTCATTTGTTTTGGTTGTAACATGGAGGCAGCTATGATTGCTAATGACAGTTTAGTGCTATGTCTGAGGCCTATTTTTAACATAGTAATGTATTGTGGACTGTTGTTAATGTAATGGAACTCCACGTACAATTGATTTGCACTTGTGCTCATTCCTGTGATCTCTACTGCCTATCTGCTACCTCCCTTTGGGCCAGGCCGAGTATACCCAGCACCAAACACCATTGAAGGGGACCATGACGCCTAAGAGGGGGTGAATTAGGCAACTTAAAATTCTAACTCTAAACTATGGCCTCTTTTTCTAATCTTAGCAAAACCTATGCAAAAGATAAACTATCTAAAAGTGCAACTACGGTTTTGCTAGTGTGTTGCTATCCCTACCGCAAAAGGAGTAATGCAATCAATGTAAATGCGAAAGCTAAAGAGCAAGGTAGAGATATGCAAACTCCCATCGATGACTCTGGTATTTTTACCGAGGTATCGAGAAGCGCGCAAGCTTCCCCCTAGTCCTCGTTGGAGCCCCTCGCAAGGGCCAACCTCTTGGTCGGGTAACTCCGTGGATAGCCTCGGGCCTTCCCCACGCGCAAGTGGGTCTCCGACGTGCCTTCCGGCAAGCCTCTCCCGGATGCTCCCCGCCGTCTTCACTATCAAGCTTCCGGCCGAAATGCCACGGGCCTTGTTCCCTCTGGTACACAGTGGCAGCCACACCACAAACGCGGTTGGTGTGATCTCGCAAGACTACAAGCCCCTCCGATGTACAACAATGGTGCTCGCAAGCACCGAGTGGTAAGAGGTATGCAAACCTCACTAAACACTAGGCCTAAACCTAGAGCAAGCGTATAAGCGGTGGTCTAATCAACCTAAGCACTTCGCAAAGCACCTACGCTAATCACCTGATGAAACACTAAGCACTATGCAAGTGGAGATCACTAAAATGGTGTATCAACACCCTAGATATGTTTCCTCGGCTCCACACCTCTCATTTGGCCGGTTGTCGGTTGTATTTATAAGCCCCACTGAGAAAGTAGTCGTTGGGGACGAAGTCCCGCTTTTCTGCTACTGACCGGACGCTGAAGTCGTCCTAATCGGACGCGTCCAGTCGTACCGACCGTTGGAGCCGCGATCCACTGATCGGACGCTACCAGCGTCCGGTCACATGCCACCGGATGCGTCCGGTCGCATTTCCGTCGCTCTGGAGCCTCTCTATACTCGACCGGACTCTGTTGTCCTACGTCCAGTCGATTTTTCCGCCAGCGTCCAGTTCCGCCTGTTACCGAGCCTCTTGATCAGAGCGTCCGGTCACTTTTCTCCAGCATCCAGTCACCTCTGTGACCTCATTTCTTTGTGATCTTGCGTACGGCTTGGTTCCTATCTTCGTGCTTGGACTTTGCTTGATATCTTGGTTCTTCTCTTGTGCTCCTAGGGTCTTGCTTATGGTGTTGATCATCAGATCATCACGTTGCCTTCGTCCAAGTCATGTCTTGCATCCTATTGAACTACAAAGCAATCACTTGCAAATTCATTAGTCCAATTTGGTTGTGTTGGTCATCAAACACCAAAATCCAAAGTAAATGGGCTAAGGGTCCATTTTCCTTACAACGATCTCAAGATGATAGTTGGGGTAGTTGATCCTCAGCCGGGCTACAAACTAGGAACTAAACACATTCTTCATTGGGCCTGGTCGGTTTCATACAACAAACCAAACAAGGGTGCTTGGCCACCTTGAGCCGGGCCTTGGTTGGCCTGGAACAGGTCCCTGGACCGAGCCGGCCACAGCCAGCTTACCAAACACACCCTAGTAGACTCTGCGAGTGGCACTGGAGGTCTTCCCATCTCTTGCCTGTGTACGTATGGTCACCGCAGACTCTGCGTATGGTGTGAGTGTAGTGTGTGTGCGTTTTCCGTGCACAGAAAACTATCAAACTAGAGAACCTCTCAATTTCTAGTACGTGAGTGTTTTACGTGCACTGGAGGCTAGAGAGTCTTCCAATCTCTTTTTTACGTGTGTATGAACGTGAATGCGTGTGGTCACTGAAGACTAGAGAGTCTCCCAATCTCTTCTTTGCGTGTGTATGATGCACACATGTGTATGTGCATATGGTGTGAGTGTGGAGTGTGTGGGTTGTGTGCATCCAATTATACCCAATCAAAAGTACCACCCATTTTGATTCATAGCACAAGGAGATCCAAAACCTATTTTTAAATGAAAATTATGTATTAACAAATAATGATATTTAGTTACATATATTAGCGGCTTTACGTACTGACGTACAAGCTACCCTCTCTCATGATAGTAATCCCACCACGTCAGATCTAGTTGTGCATATTGACGCGGTGCTACTCATGTCTAAGGATGGCAGCGGGGCGGGTTCGGGGCGGATATCCGCGGGTTTTGGGTCCAGCGGTTTTGGTTTCGGGGACAATTTTGCACCCACGATTTTCGGGTTCGGATACCCGAACGGTTGCGGGTTTGGGGCGGATCCTCATTTTCCCCCGCGGATCACCAACGGAGCCCCGAAATCCTGTCCGACCCTCTTGGCCTCTCGCTCACCCCACCCGATGCGCCGTCCTTGCAATGTCCACCCATCCGCATCGCCCTTTGCACTGTGAGCGCTTGTGCAGACGACGAGCAAGGGCAGTGCCACCCGCCAGCGCGCCCCCCACAAGATCTCGCTCGTCGGAAGGGGGCGGGCGGCGCCGCCAGCAACAGCCGCCTCACCTCACGCTCGCAGCACTCGCTCACCCGGTCACCCGCACCCCACCCGATCCACCCGTCGCCCGCTGCCCGATCCCCTTGCCTCCGGCCGTCCTCCGCCCAAGCCAACCGCGCCACCGCCTTCCCTACACCTCGCCGCACCTCCCCTACCGCTTCTCCGGCTGCAGTCGCCGCCGAGCGCAATCAGCAGCCGCCGCTGCCACATGCCGCCGACGTGCGTGGCCAGGGAGCCCTGAGCCACCTCCGGCGAAGCCGCCGCCACCCGCAGGTGCGCGCGGACCCGGCGAGGTCGCAGCGCCCCACGTCCTCCGACGGAGGTCGCCCCAGCCGTCAGAATTGGCCGGCCACCGAGCTCCTCTGCTCTACTTTGCGTCATCCTGAACAGGGGAGGCAGGTTTCGGGTTTTGGATAATCCGTCGGGTTTCGGGGATCCGTGGATTTTGGTTTCGGGGATGGATTTCCACCCGATATGGTGTTCGGGGCGGATTCGGGTTTTCAATTCGGGTGTCGGTTTTGGGTGCGCAGAGGCTTCGCCCGATCCGAATCCGACCCGTTGCCATCCTTACTCATGTCTCCTTTAATGAAAATTATGTATTAACAAATAATGATATTTAGTTGCATATATTAGCAGTTTCACTTACTGATGTATACAAGCTAGCCTCTCTCGTGATAGTAATCCCACCACGTCAGGTCAAGGTGTGAATACCGACACGGCGATACTCGTCTCGTTTAATGAAAATTATGTATTAACAAATAATGATATTTAGTTGTATATATTAGCAGTTTTACTTACTGACATACAAGCTATCCTCTCGTGATAGCAATCCCACCACGTCAGATCTAGTGTGAATACTCATTATTTTCATTAACAAATAATGAAAATTATGTATTAACAAATGTATAGACACTAGAA